TTTTTTTTAACAAAAACGGCCTAGTGCCCAAGGCTGATATTAATTTTGAGAATATTGAGGCCGGGGTCCTCACAGTCTCCCCGGAGAAGTCCACTAGAGCCTGTATTATGCCTGAGATACCCTTCCGTTACTGAACATCTAATTTTTGCGTAATTAGGGTGCAGTCACGGTTTCAGGTTTAGATCTAGTTCAGGCATCCCGCGAACACAACACACATCGCCACCTGACCCTAGAGCTGGGTTGTATACATTCACGATTTTCCTCCGTTTGACACAACATTCGCGAAATTGTGACTGAAATGCATTTTCAAACTGACACTGTAAGAGCACCGGAGTTTTCCCTTCACTTTTATTTGATTTATGAAGCAAGTGAGGCAGTGGCACGATTTGAAACTGTGAAGGCAGAAAAAAACATGAAGGGTAAATGCAAAAAAAACACGAACCGGCAAAAAGAGCGGCCGCCGAACTTGAAAGGGCAATGGAAGTACAGGGCGCCGCCGATGGGCCTTTCCATTCTTTTTCTTTCCCCGTCTGACACCGCCCCCCCCAAAAAAAAAAACACGAACCGGCCGACCCCTGCAGTTATGGCACCTACATTGGCACCTGGCCTGTGGACCCCCGCGCACAGTGCTTCATCTCCCTTTCTTTCATCTCCCTTTCTTTCATCTCCCTTTTGGGTTTGAGGGCTGTTGTTTTTGCCCGTCTGTGTTTTTTTTTGTCCATTCGAAACTCTTTTCTGACAGAAAGGCACTTTGCCACTTGCCCCTCGATTTATGAGGAAGAAGGTGGACCAAAAATAAATTGTCCCTGAAGTCGCAAACGGGGGGCCAAGTCCCATTAGCCGCGTTGAGGTAGCTGAATCTGGATGTGTTTGTGGAGACGTGCAGTTCAGGAAACTCAACACCATTTCTGCACATCTCCGTCCACATTCAGGCGTTGAGGTAGCTCAACTCTGCTAGTGGGACTTGGGCCCGGGTAAAACAGGGTGCAGGCCCATGGACCAACAGAGAGGTGTAGATTGCAAATTTGTCTGGGGGAAAGTGATAAAACCTCCCGGCAAAGAAACCTTTGTATCACTTTTGGTGTCATTTTGTTTTTTGGGAAAAGTTGTTGATGCCCCCGCGGCAAAACCTTTGTCAAATTTCCACCCCAAAATGGACGCACCGTGCGGGAGGTCCCCAAAAAAAACTTTCCGTCCTTCTTGCACCCCGGCTGGGCCGGGAGATCACTTTCCCACCTTTTTTGCACAGCGGGCCCTGCTGGCGTTACCGGCCCAGCCAGGCTGCAGAAACGACGCGAGGCCCCCTGAAAATACTTTCTGAGTCGTTTTTGCGGCCTGGCTGGGCGGGTAACGCCAGCAGGGCCCACTGTGCAAAAAAGGCGGGAAAGTGATCTACCGGCCCAGCCCGGGTGCAAGAAGGCAAGAAGGACGAAAAGTTTTTTTTGGAGACCTCCCGCACGGCGCGTCCATTTTGGGGTGAAAATTTGACAAAGGTTTTGCCGCGGGGGGCATCAACAACTTTTCCCTTTTCTTTTGCACCCTGACTGGCCGGTAACGGCCGCTGTGTAAAAATGGCGGGAAAGTGTTTTGCAGGGTGCATGCAAAAATGACGCTGAAAGTGATTTTTGGACGGGGGACACTTTTTCTCCCGTTTGGGGAGAAATGGATACAAAGGTTTCCTGGCGCGGTGGTTTTATGACTTTTCCCATTTGTCTGAAGTCGTTAGAGCGTTCTCCCTGACCTTGACCATATATCTCGGTGAAAAACGATTTCCTTGCAGTAAAATTGATCACTGCTCGGTCAGGGATGTGGCACAGTTCCTGTCGCTCAGCTATGTAGCACAGGCGTGAAGCTCAAATGTGCTGGGCTTGGTCTGTTCATTAACAAATGGGGGTCAAGGGGGGGGGGGGGTCGTTGTCCAAAGGCCGCAAGCATAGGTTGTGGCATAAGGAAGCGCTATGTTTAGTAGTATTAGTACGTTAATCCTGTG